GCATTACCTGAGTAAGTGTCCTTAATGTAGCTAAGAGGTGAACAATTCAGAATAATGCAGGAAGTTTGTGTGTGTTTAAGGTAGGAGGGAAGGGAGGGAGGTGTGTGTTTGAGTGTGTGTGAAGGGAAAGGTGAGAGATTAGACCTCTAAGAGGCCATATCTGTTTTGATTTCAATCACACTCTCTCTAATTTCCCCTCTCTGTTTGTGTTTTTTTACACATTCAGCACTTAAATACAGTGTTTTGTCATTAAACGGCCAATCTTGCGTTCGTCTCTCACTGATACACAACATTAATCACCAATTAGCTTGTCCTGTGACTGGCCACCTCTCTCATTACAATATGATAGAATATAATGGTACTTAATGATGCTTAGGAAACATAATTAAATGAGTGAGCTGTAGAACATGTGGAAGAACCGCGGTGCATCAATCAAAGACGACCCTGTCAATCCAGCGCTCGCCGAATGTGTGCGCCTGGAAAAACAGAGGGGTGTGTGCGGTGTGCTGAAACCGCTGGCCTCTATCATGACCTCATTAGGGAGAAATGAAGGGTGGACGTGTCCCCATCACACGATACCATTGGTGCTTCAAAGTGTGAATGACATTAACGTGTGACTGTCTATGCGTGTGGGTGAATGTCAGCTGGTCTATCTATCTGACTGCACCGGAACAGATGAGGGGGGTGTACAAAAAAAAAAGGGCCATCTCTCTGAGGTATCTGTTTCTAGCTCTAATTAGCATGTGAATAAATGGAATAAATAATCTATATTATTTATGGATTTGCTTTTATCATTAATCAACATAACAAAAAGCTCGTCTAATGCGCTCGCTGTAGTCGCCACTGTACCGTCAGCTGGAGGGGGGAGAAAGAGGGAGAGGGAAAGCAGGAGGAGGAGGGTGGTGGTGGTGTTGGAGGGGCAAATAGCTTATCTTTTGTTTTGGTTTTTTTGGTTTTTGTTTTTTTTCGTTTTTTTTTTTTCATTTTAGTAGAACAATAAAGATAAGTGTTCTACATGCTTGCTTAACACACACAGTTCGCCGGCCTCCTCCCCTCTTCCCTCTCTGTGTGCCGCCAGTGGTGAAATCCATCTCTCTATCTCTATCTCTCTAACATCCATTACATACCCCAGCCCCTCACCTCCCTACTCATTAGGCCAACGCACAGTAAATTAGCAGCAGCAATTACAGGGAATATAAAGCACGGGCTCTGCTGGGCTCCCTCTGACAGGTACCACACAGATCATAGACAGACACCCACAGTCATCGGGATAATTACTGTGGGAAACGACCACACACCCTCGCAAGCGGGCGCGCAAAACCCGACTGTGAGTACACACTTGTTCGAGGTGTGCTCAAATATGCTCCGTCTAACTGGCAGGCGTGTTCGTGCGCATGCGGGAAGGTGCGCACGCGCTCAGTAAGTAAGGCCGGGGATGGCTCTCGCTTCCCGTTGCCTCTCTGCGTCTTTCAATGATGTCCATTGTGACTATTTTCCAACACAGAATATTATTAATATTCATCCCTCCTCTCCTTGTGTTTTGTTCACTGTCTAAGCCTTGCCTCCATTCTGAATATCCCCCTACACACACACTCACATCCTCTCTCCTTTCCATTTCTTTCCTTTCCTCTTCTTTATCCGAGATCCCCATGGGGACTCCTGTTTTTCTTTCAAATACATCTCTCCGCTCTTCCTCCCTTCATGTGTCCATGCAGGGAGGAGAATGAGAAAAAAGAAGGAGGTGGAGTAGGAGAGCGAGGAATGTGTGCATTAATATATTTCATTAGGGTACTAGTAGCACAGAAGCTCCTGAACAGCACCTCTCTTGATGTGCGAGGGCTCTGCCGGCTCTATCCAGTGGAGTAGTTCTCCAGGAATAGCGTCTTTAATGTTACGTCTCCAGAGGGCTGAGGTCTGCTGGCTCCACGCTGCCCTCGGCCTCCCACTCCTATTGTCCTCCTCCCACACTGACCAGTCTATCTGGGGCCTGAAAAGCAGCTGGAAATAAAGAGCAAAATGCGTTCACCTTTTGTCTATGTGTATTTATGATTTATGAGTGTGTGCGTGTTTCAGTGTGTGTAGGTGTGTATATGTGCTGCACTGCAAGCTACATTTAGGGGAAGCCGAATCCCTCGGTGCAACGCGGCATTGGTGCTCGGCTTGCTAATCAAAAACATTAGGCTCCAGGATTCATTTTCCTCGGGACTAAGTGTGCAACCTCCATAATTCAATATCCCACCTCTTACTGCTAAATCATGCACGCCGCCACCCACTTTACTGTTTGTCAGCAAACTATCAACTCTGTTATTAGACTTAGTAGAGAGAGGAAAAAAAGACTGTGTGTTGTTATGAACCTTTAGGCAATTAGGGAGGCAAACACACAGAAGCGCACGCAGTGTTTACGAGCCCTTATTTCATCAGTACTTCCAGGTCGTCTTGCTTTCCCCCCTCACCGCCCCTTGGTGTTGCGGAAGCCTCCAGTTACCGAGGAGACCCTGGAATACTTTGAGGTCAGCAGAATCCTGGGATCCGCTGTTTTCACGAGCTAATCCAATCGCAGCCTTCTAAATTAGATATGCAAAAAATAAAAAAGAAATTAATTTTCTGCTGATGACCGGGTATGCAAATGATGACTCAATTATGGTGGGCTGGTGCCTTTGCAATTAATAACCTTGGAATCATCATTAACTAATATGTTTAGGAGGAAACTTGTCAGGCTAACCATGTTCACCATGCCATCAGTAATGCATTAATGAATTAGATTCATTAGAGAAAGGAGCCGAGCAGGGGAAAGGATGCAGGCCTGTTTCTGACCTGTGGAATAAGCCGTAGCCATTCCTCCTCTACTCTTAGTCAGCTGCCTGTCAGCTAATTGGAGAAGGCCTTTTCAGTGAAAAAAAAAAAAGCCCAGAGAAAACCGGTAACATAAAATAAATCAGGAATGAGGCATATTTTGAAATAAAAGGACACCTGACAAAGTCACAGACAAGAGGTAACTTTAATTCAACATTGTGAGATTCCAAAAGTTATCTTACAGCTCAATTTTCATCAAAAACAATAACAATCTATACAGTAGATTTTTTTTCTTCCCTTATATCATAGAGCTGTTCAGTGTATTTGCAGTCAAAGACAAACAGAGGAAAAAATAGACACCAGCTATTTGGTTTGCATCTTCTTCTTTTTTTGTTGTTTGTTACCTAAATACAAAAACTTTGTCACCCATTACTGATACTCATATTTGGGATGGAACTTTTGCTTACAAAGATGCCATTGTATGACAACAGACCTCTGTAGTTCATTTGAAACAGATATGCTGCGGCCCCTCCCGCCCTGGCCCAGACCGGCACAGGCACACAAGTGCCTGAAAAACACTCGTCTGTCAGCAGGCGCCTCTGTTAAAACGGTCCTTTCTACCCCCTTAACAAAACCAGGCTCTAGAAAAGAAAAAGCAGAGAGAGAAAAAGCCCTATTCTCTGTCCAGCAACAGCTTGAAGACACACGGCAGACACGAAAAAAAAGAAAAAAAAAGACTACAGAAATGTCTGATGGGCCAAGGAGCTCCCTTTTGTGGTTCATCACATGTTCTTTTTAGTCTTGTTTAGCTTGAAATGAAGCTGTATTGTCCAAAGGCCAATACAGACGGTGAAGGACTGGGGGCTGGGTTGACTGTCGGATACTGGAGTCAGACCTACGACTCTGTGTAGAGATTAAAATTGTGCTGTGGCAGCGCTTGTCTTCACTGTGCGCCCCTCTGTACTACAATAAAAACAGCCATGTGTTGTCGTACTGTTGTGATCCTGTGGTTGATGAGAAATGTTACTATCATGCTGCCAAAATCATTAAAAAAAAGCTACATAATTGCTACAAAAAGTGTTTCTCCGAACGTGCAGGAAGCACAGCTGAGAAAGGCCGCTCCGACTTGTCCTTCAAAGCGTGCCATTGCTGCAGTATTATAGTACATCGGGGTGTGTGTGTGTGTGTGTGATTGTTGAATTATGGCTCTTTGTATTCTAGTCTGGCTTTACCACCAAACAGAGTGGGTTTGTGCTTTGTCCCCAAGTTCTCATGAATTCCTCTGTGGCAACAGACAATTGTGGTGAGGGTAGAAAAACTGTACACATGATTGAATGAAGAATGGGTTTGCATTGTTAAGGCATCTAGACTGCTGGTAAAGATTACAGTGACAGAAATAAAAGAAAGAGTATATAGATACAGTATGTAAGCAGGCATAAATAACATAGGGAAGAACAGAGGAGGAGGAGGAAGAGGAGGGAGGCAAAAAAGAGGAACACAAAGAAAGAAAAACAGAGCAATTTGTTTGTTCTCTTGGTTTTCCACACACATAAAGAAAGAGTCACTCAAGAGAAGAACCCATGCATATTATCAGTTCAAGAACAGTATCAATCTGAAAGCCTCAGAGTTCAAACAAAAAGATATAGATTTACAGTATATATTAATGTGTGTTTATATTCTTAAAAAATCTACTTCAACGAAATACTCTGAATAGGATGCTACTTTTTTGCCGTACAATAAACATTTTCATAAGGAAAAAAAAAGATTTTTTATTAACTTACAAATAATACAAAAATAGACAATGGCATGTTTTGAATCAACAAACAGAAGCATGGCATACTGATGCAAAACAACATACAAAAAACAAAAAGGAACAAAGATTAAAAAAAAAAGTCACATTTAAATAGTGAGAGACAACAGCAAATAATGAAACGAAACACTGCGAAAAGTGTTCACTTACTGTATTAAACTTACACAACACAACTAAACGAGGGTGAGAGTCAATGTACAAATACAAGGGATAAATACATTATTTATAGGGTATTTTACAGGGATCCCCTTTTTGTATCCAAACCCATGTTTCTCATGTTTAGCAAATGAGATATTGACAAGACGCAGTAAATCTATCTTCTGTACTGAGAAGCTGCCTTAAGACATTTAATGTTTACATTTCAAACTAGAGCTATCGCAAAAAAAAAAAGAGTAAAGAAGTGAAAAAAACCCAAAATGAACATTTTTTTTATATATACAAAAATATATCACATATATCACGCATTTATTCTAATTTGATATTTGCTAGGCTCCTTCAGTTACAGTGCTGGCTGGACGCACACACATCCTCTGGCTTTTCAAGTCTTCACTAAAAACCTCGTCAGTTTTGGCTAAATTCTCATCGTCACCTTGTCTTCACATGTCAAGCAGAAAAAGCATATTGCAAACAGCTCTATCCTCACAGTTTTATTAAAATTCAAACAAACCAACCAAAATGAGAGAGAGAGAGATTTAAAAAAATAAAATAAAATAAAAGCAAGGCGTGATGTTTAAACAGCTTGGGGCAGTTTTGCTAGACAATTTTTAAGATTTATTGGAAAATTAGCAGCAAAATCAATGGTTGATTTTCTATTTTTTTCTGTGTTGCTGAACTTTTTTTCCCTTCTCCATTTGGCCACTGTGTCGCTCTGCGGTTTTAGAGAGGCGGAAACGGTAAGGAAAGCTCCTTTGTTTGTGACTGAAGTTATTGTAAACTTCATGGCCAAACCAACACTTCGCTGTTGTTTGTGCGAGTTATGGATTGCAAGGCGGTGTGGGGGCCTCCAGTAATCAAACCCAAACCTTACAGGCATAAACACAAAGATAAATAAATGCTCTTTTCATGAGGTCAGTGTCACACTGTGGGCAAACTATCAGTCTCTATACACTCCATCCAACATGGTGTCAGAGAAGCTACACTATTTCAACCAAGAGGGAAATAACATCACAAAAGGTTCATATTGTCCCCTTTTTCTTTCTCTCCTATCGCCTTCAGATGAAATCCCAATGGAAAGGCCTGAGTTTAACAGAGTCCTGCGTCTTTATCTTGACTTCCTTCACTTTAGCTCTGCAGCATAACAGAGACTCACCAGACTCCGCTACTGTCTTTTTTTTTCCTCTCAACATTCCCAAATCTCCAGCTATCCCAGATCCTCTACATGGGTGGAACGATCATCCCGGGAATCGCTGCTTTGTGGGAAAAGAGGGGGAGGTAGAAGGAGTGAATGGGAGATTGAGGGGTAAAGAAAGAGAGAGAAAGGTCAGTCATGTGATTGCTGGGTTTCATCTGTCATCACAACAGTCACATAACAGCAATGTGCTCCAGCATCTGGCGAACAAAGACGACTCTCCCTCATTATCTCTTCATTCCGAGGCCCCAGGAATCAAAACATTTCCCTCCGCCGCTGCCGCTGACTTGGCCGCGCATCGACAACATTGTTCAGCTTCTCACAGGCCTCCTGAACAGCTTCATGCAAGAGCTGCCGCTGTTAATTGTTAACAGCTACATGGTGTAAGCCTATTATGTGCATTATGGAGAATGACTCAAACGAGAGGGTGGGGAGAGTATGAACTGATGCGGAATGACAGAGGTGATGAAAATTAGGCTCAAACATGGAAATGAAATCCATGAGATATACTCACATCTTTACCTCCCTATAGCACCAACTCTTGCACCTCCACCTCCCCACAAGCCACCTCCCCCCATCACTCCTGCCCTCTACCCTGTTTTTTTTCTTACACAGAAACCATCACAGATAGAAATTTTTCATATAACATATTGGCTCCTTATTGATTTCCCCCACTCTTCAATCCACTAATTCCCAGGTTATTTCCTAAGTGTCTCCCACTTGTTGGGATTAACAGAATGGTGTGTGCATGTGTGTGTGTGTGTGTGTGCGCGCGCGTGTCAGTGTGATCAGAGCATAGTGGCCATTGGCCCTTAGGTCACAGTGGTCAGAGCTCATCAACGCCGACGAAGGAAGTGAGGAAGTGCTTAGCTTGGGGCTCTGATAAAGATTCCCATCCATCATTTCTCTCTCTCAGGATCTCAGCACCATACAACATCCTGCCCAGACGAACAGACCCCGTGCCGCATTCGATGGAAATGAGAGAACAGAGTGACCCGTGGTGGCATAACGACCTCCCTTCACACCCTCCCCCCGCAGACGCACCAACTAGAGGACGGGCAGGAAGCAGGAAGTGAAAACAGGAAATATAACACATATGGGGTAGCATGATGACTATCTGACAAGTCAAGAGTGACAAATAAAAACAGAAACGAGAAGGAAGGGCAGGGCAGGATGGTGCAAATGAGCGGTCTGGGATAGCGTGGAGTGGAAAGCCAAAACAGAGAAAGAGAAAAATGAAAGCGAGGAGTAACATACTTCAGGAGAAGGCCAGGCCCTGCAGAGAGCTGGCTGATGAGTACTTGCTAGAGTCCACAAAAGACTGATCTACGGTGAGGAAGGAGAGTGGAGGGAGGGCCAAGAAAGGGGGGGAAAAAAGGAGTGGAGGAAGAAAAAGGAAAATCGAAGGAGTAAAAGTGAGACGTTATCATAGGAGGTGAGGAAAAGCAGGATTAAAGCTTGAGGGTGAACAATTCCTAGCAAATAATTTTACTAAAACTTTTTACTGTGCTCATACTGCAAATTTCAAATTCATCAGCAAGTTAGCGTGAGGCTATTTAGCGGCTTACCTTGCAGGCTGTTAGCATTAGCGCTGGTGCACGTGGGAGGAGGGGAATTCTGGGGTCGGACAACGGGGGCAAATGCGCTCTTCTGCTTGACGGCTGCAGACACCATGTTAGCTGGAGAGAAGGAGAAGATGCCAGAGGAGCTGCTGCAGTTGGAGGGCAGGCTGGTCGACGACGCCATTGTTGGGCTGGACGGGACGACTGAGGGAAAGAGAGAGAGACGGGTAGGAGAGGGTGTTTTAGGAAGGGGCGTCATAGGTGTATGTCAGGGAAGAAGGACAGGAAGGGACGACGATGGCAGAAAGGGGGTTAGAGAGAGGGCCGAGGGCAGAGGACAGGCAGATGGGACGAACAGAAGGGGACTGGTCAATGGATGATGGCAGGAGGGGTGACATGTTGTTTTCAGATCAACTGGCTCAGACTTGTTTTGCTACCTGTTGTGCTGTTAAGCAATTATTTGGCAAAGAGATTTTCCATATCTTACACAAAAATGTGTTTAGTTGGAAAATGCTGAAAATGGCCTGAGGTCGTTTTTCCCCCCTTCTGATCAATCTGTTTTGATGACTCATCCTGTGCTCAGGGGATGATAAACATCTCCTCAGCAACTTTAGGTACTGTAACCTGTAATTTGTTTTCAGGGCAACTTACAAACAAAGCTCCCACACATCTACTTTATCACAGATATTTATGCTAGAGGTTTTAACCAACAAGGTTTAAAAAATTAGAATACATAAGCAATATGCTTGCCCACTGGCTCTTTGCATTTTAACTGCACATTAGGCATCATTCACCACCTTAAAAGCACTCTAAACAGTTGTTAACCATATGTCATGTAATTTAAGGGCTAGATGTGGATTTGTACTTTTGGGACATCCCCTCTGGAACGGTGGATTGAAGATTTCAAATGCAAGATAGAGAAACTTTTTGAACATATTCATATCTAAAAGAGCTTCTCAGTGCTTCTGAAATGAAATCAAAAGCTTTGTACAAGATAGCCGTTAGATGGATTTACTGTGGCCACTGTAATTCACCCTCATGAGAGGCACACACAGCCAAATGACCCAACTCTTCACAATCCAAATCATGTCCTCTGACATCATCCCATCCATCCACTTCTCCCGGGTTTGCCTTTTGTCTGCTAATACACTAAGAGCATTTCCCCCTTCAGTGATTTTACAATCAGCTGAGCCGTATTTCACCTGCCCTGTGATATCTGCCTCTGCCTTTATTGTTGTTATTATCCAACACTTAGCTTTTATGGCTCTTCCTGACAAATCCTTGCAATAAAGTCATAATCCATTTATGAAGGGGCCTAACTAATCAATTAATGAAAATTGGACCTACAAAGGCAGGCCGAGGGGCCATTGATTGAAAGTGTCTGTGTGGGGCCGATGAGCCTGTTAAAATACTTGTTAACACCCAGGAATCAAAGAGCTGAAATGGAATTGCTTCTCTAGCAATTAGTTTATTGATTTAATCAAGAGTCTTTAATGTAGAGGGTGAGTGTGTGTGAGCAGAGGTGGTATGTGTGTGTGTGTGTGCGCGTGTGTGTCGAGGAGGTGTTGGGACGTGCTAGGTGATCTCCTCCCCTGGCCAATAAAGCGGGGATTTGTGTTTGACTCTGCTCTTAAAGAAACAGATGAGCCAGCTGAACTGAAATACTTTCTCCTGTCGTGTCGATTCTTGTTTCCTGCCGTGCTTCTCAGTTCCTCTCAGAGATGTCTTCTGTCATTTACAAAATGCTGATCCCCACCCAAACTTTCAGCTCTAGTATGCACTGTATTTACTCACTAGCATAGGGCGAGTTGCCTGCAGATCCATTGAGGAAGTTGGGCGAGGTGCCCAAGGTTGCCATGCCAGAGTTAGCGTAGCCATTCATGCTAGTGGAGACAGAGCTGTAGCTACTCTGCTGGGGAGTAGAGCTGGGGACATAACCATGAGGGGACACACTGCTTGTACTCCTACTGAAACCTAAAGACAGAGAAAGAAAGGGGGATGGAGAGTGTTAGAGGTATAGCAGATGGCAGACATACCAAAACAAGAAAGCCTACATGCAGCTGCTGCCAAATGCTCCTTTTTTCATACTAATGGACATAGCATTACAAGCCAGAAGAAATGTTTTGCTTTTTCTTAGAAAAATCTTAGACAGCATATGGGAGAGAAAAAAAGCAATGAACAGAGTGGAGGAAGAATGATATGAGAGGGATCTAGCTGCAGCCCCCCCCCCCAACGCCTGAAACAAGAGGACTATCACCCTGCTGGCTCCTCTTCAGAATTAGATATATTGATAAGGCAATCAACGGTAAAAGGCCTTGGCGGCTCTCTTGTAATTTACAAAGAATGAAGCTAGTATTTCTGACAGGACCTTTCATGCTTTACAGGGGCAGTGAACAGAAGGAGAACAATGTAAAATGGAAGACTATAAATACACACTGATCAGCTACAACACTAAAACCGCTGACGGGCAAAGTGAAAATCATTGTTTCACTGCAGTGTTTTGCTGTGAAGCCTCGGGTACTGCCATTCATGTGACGTGGTAACGCCCACCTGCACATTGCCCTGCACGACGGTGTGCCCTGCCTGCACATGAATGGTGCCCAATCTGTTCACCCGGCCTTCAAACTCTACAGGATTCAGGAACATCCCTCATACACATCCCTCATACACGGATGCATCACTCCACATCACAAACTGCCAACATCCCAGTACCAGACACTACAGGGCACCCATGGGTCAGAGCTGCTTTGAAGACACAAAGTGAGCCTACACAATATCTATACAATATACAACATGATAACATAGGTGGGGGAAAAATGGCTGGAACTGAACATCTGGAATTTCCACTCTCTAGTGTGGGGATGTCAAAACGGATTTTACTGAGGTGATTCTGGCTCCCGGGCTTTATGTTTGACACCCCTGCTCTAGTGTAACAAAGGCTACTCATCACAAGTATTGTCTCACTTCTTCATCACTCTGCTCCTCCCTGATTAAGTTTACATTTTCATCTAATATGAGGGTGAAACAAACGATAGGTTAAAAATGTTTCCGGATGAAAATGAAGGGCAGAGGAAGCTCATTGGAATTATTGAGATGCATCCAGAGGCTGGTCCATCCACTCTCCTCTGGTTCCCCCGATACATGTGATGAATCACCACTGACTGCACCCACATCTCTCTCTGTCAGACAGGGGCTGACCCCAGTCTAATATACACACCCCTAGGACCCATTCATATTTCTCCATCGTACTCCATCCACGGCTTTCTTTTTCTCCATTCTTCACTCTCTCACCATCTTTCTTTCAAGTTTTCCCCGTTTCTTACTGTCACCTCTCCTCCTGCTGTCCTCCTTTTTCACACTTTCTTATTTGCTCCATGCTCTTAAATCACTATCTCTAAATTTCCCACATGAAAAATAAAATGCCCCCCCCCCCACACCCTGCTGTCATCCCTAAATGGACAACAGCAAATAAACATTTTTTCCTTTTCCCATGACAATAGGCCAGAATTGTTTCCTGGTGTGTTTGCTCACCCTGATTGGCTGTTTGTGCCACCTCTGACCCGGTGAAAGAGTTTACTGCCATCATGCCAGCATGAACAGAGCTGCTGCCAAGACTGGCTAGCTGGTTGTGCCCTCTTGGGACTGTTGTATAGAGGGCCTCCGCGATATCCGCTGCTCGTTTCAGAATCATCTCCTGACGATGAGGAAGGAACAAAAAAAAAAGAAAAAGAGTGGTGGTCAGTAACAGAGAAGAAAAGAGAAGAGAAGAGGGAAAATATACCCTTGATGTTGGCTTTATAGCCTGATAAGAATGCTAGATCTCCACTCAAGATACTGCACATGTAAATCTAGCAGAGCTGAGTGGTTTTTATCAGTTGTCGCTGGGAGTGGTGGGATTGGTTCAGTAAATGGAGGAAAGGCTCATTAAACAGACACATCAGATCTTTAGCCTGCCTCTTCCTCCCTGTTTTGGGTTTCCATTCTTCCTCCTTCAGACTCAAGCCTTAATGCCACTCCTCCTCTTTAACTGCCTTCTGCATTCCCTCTAATCTCATCTCCACCCTCTGCATTGATAAAAAGCTCTAACATAGTCTAGCGTGCATGTTTGTGGGTCCCAGATCTTGCGCGAACACGGCAGGGTGCTACATCGCCAGCAGAGATAAGTGCCTTTGATGCTGCCACTTGGCCCGAACCACAAACAAATAATAATGTCTAATAAGAGATATTGCTGTTTGTGTTTTTGTCTGTGTGTGTGTGTGTAAGAGAGAGTTTACCTGGTTATTGTGAGGCATCCCGTACAAGGCCTCCACCAGATCTGCCGCTCTCTTTAAAATCACCTCCTGCAATCAAGCGCAGACAGAGGAAGGGGGATTGATCACAAGTGTGGCGGCTCAAAGAGTTCAGTCACTTTTATTACATTTCACTCCTTGCATTATGCTGTGAATGCAGAACAGAGAGAGTGTGAGGGAGAGGAAAGGGGTAGACAGAGGAAGGGAGAGGAAGAGAAATGGGCCCATCCCAGCACTTTGTTACTAGCTGGGCAGTTTGGGAGAGCAGAGGGAAGATACTGTTATCTGTGAATAAAACATGAGCCTATATCTCTCTATCAGTCAACTATCTTCCACATCTTCTCACTCTCTCTCTCTCCTCTGTCGCTGATGGATCACGAACCCGCCGCACATGATCACGCATCAATCTCATTTAACACAACATATCATCAGGTTGACGGCTATACAACTCTCCTCGTCAGCCGGGACACACCCGTCTCCTGCCCTGTATTAACCCTGGTAATGATCCGAGTGAATAGCCCTGTATCCACTTTGTGTGATAAATGTAGAACATCATTGCTCAGGTGAAAACCGCCGAGTGGAATTTCCCACATCAAACATTTATCCTAACGCAGCTTCTCCGCACTCATTTTCCACCGCTTACAACCCTTTCCCTCCTCTCTCTGTCTCTATTCTTTTTTCCTCCCTGAGTGTATGAGTGTGTGACTCCAGGCAGTCTTTATATATATATATGTGTGTGTGTGTGTGTGTGTGTGTGTGATGTCGACACCTACAGTCCTACAAAACCCTTTTTAAAAGTTAATGTGCCGGGGCCAGGATATATGCTGGAGGCGCGACAACCAGAAAATTGCAGCCCCCTCCCCTCCAACCTTCTCCTCGTTTCTTTCTCTTCCACTCGCGCACACTCACGCTGTGCGTTATACTCTCCTGAGTGTATCCCTCGCTGTGAACAAGCCCCGGAGCATGTGTGCTCTCTGTTCCGTGACACGCCGCCTTTCAATCAGACCTCATATTGCACACACACGCAAACACACACGAGTGTAACCGCACACGCAGCCATGCACATGTGGAGGCTGTCGAGCACGCCCAGGACATGACGAGAGGGTCAGCAAAGCAATAAAGATTGTAGAGCGCTGTCCGAGGTGCTAAATTCACTCAATAATGGGAGCGCTGCCTCTGTGTTAACCTCCCATTACTAGCACTATCTGGGGGAGGCAGAAAAGGAGGCGAGGGGAGGAGGAGGGTGAGAGCTGGGAAGAGGGGAGACCAGAAAGGAGGCCTGTTTGAGGTGATTGAGAGATGTAGAGGCCCTAGGAAGGTAAGTGGTTCTTTAGTATGTATGCACTGCTCCTCGCTTCCTTCTCTCTGCTTTTCCTCGACGCCCCATGCCTCCCAGGGATTGCTAGATAGTTAGATGGATGGATGAAGGAAAAGGAGAGGAGGAGGAGGAGGAAAAGAAAGCGGGGGAGGAGGGGAAATGAAGGAAGTGCGAGGCATTAGGACACGAACAGATCTGCAGTTGGAGTGTAACGGTGTTCCGGGAGCACTCGTGCAACATCAGTCTCTTTATTTAATTTTTTTTTTGCCCCTCTCTGCACCAGCCATTCTGCTCGTTCTCCTTAGGTCTATTATGTGCGTGCATCTCCTCATTTATAATTCACTCTCCCCTCACCTGAGCCTCCGAACTACTTTCACTTGCCCCCCCCCTTTAATCACTCTCTCATGCTCCTGTGCCCTGTCTGTACCTATCAGTCTCTCGTTAGCGAAGGGATCTGTCCAGTAGCTAAACGCGATTAGGCAGCGCTCCAGAGTCATTCTGATAAACAGATAAATGTGGTTAGCGCCATGCTGCCTCCCTAGCCCTGCTGCTGTAAGGGGAGACCATTTCCTGGGCGCAGGGTCTCTTCCCGTAAAGTCAGGCCCACAGAGACGTCAACAGGAAGGGGAACCTGATCCAGAGCAGAGCCTGGCCTCGTCTGGCAGGGCGGTCACTCATTAGCCAGCCCCAGACCCCCAGCCACACCGCAGCCTTAGCTAAACACCCTGCAGTCTGGCTACCCAGCAGTCCCCGCTCAGTCTGACTGCCTGACTATTCTACAGCACAGTATGGGGCTGTTTTCAGCTGGATCACTGGATCATTATCGCAACATACAGAGATAGAACAGGGGTTGGTATATATCCTGCCTATTCTCTGCACGCTGTATGTGTATTGTGGGTGGGGCGGGTTCGTCAAAGTGCCAATATATTGGAATATGTTATAGTCCCAGTCAGTTGAATCTAGTTTAAAGACCCACCAAAGAACAGCCACACAGAGGCTTGTGCCAAGGTAGCTTTGAATGGACATTTGTAGCTCAAGAAGTTGCCAGCATATGCCCCTCTCCTGCCCCTCTCTAATGATTGAGGCCAACAGTTGAGAGAGAAGCGTGGTCAACAAACTGTTATTACCTCAATAAAGGCACAAATCAATAGAGCTGAAATGAACAACCAGGCCTGCCAGCTACCGCTGTTCATTTAGAAGTGAAAGAGACACCGCCAAGCGAGGGAGAAAGAGGAGGAGAGGAAAAGAGATGGATGGATACAAAGATATTTGGAGAGATACGGGGGGTTGATAGGCTAAAGACCAGAACTCACCGGGACAACTCTTGTATCCACCAGACATGACACACGGTGAGGACAAGTGATTTCTCTATCTTCCTTCTGCATCTACCTGTGCTCTCCATCTCTGCCTGGTGGTGACTTCCCTCCACTGAGTGTGTGTGTGCGTGCACATGAAGGCATAGAGAAGTCTGTGTGCATTTCTGTGTGTGTGTGTGTGTGTGTGTGTGTGCTGCATTGTGGATAAGTGTGTGTGTTGGAAGTAATAAAGTCCACCCGGGGTTGACTTCGATCCACTGACCCAGCAGGAGGTAAGACTGGACAGCTATGATGGATCACCTAACCTGCTTCTGCCTCTCTCTTCCTCTCTCTCTCCCCTCAACCTCCTTTCCTCTCTCTCTCTCTCTCCCTCTCTTTTCCTCTCTCCATCTATCCCCTTTCCTCTTCCCACTTTGCCAGTCCAAATGACCTTATACTCAGTGGAAGGATGAATAGAGTCGCTTGTGCATTTATTGCACAAATAAAGTGTTTGTTTGAACAGAAAATGACCATGAACATGTGGTTAAATGTTTATGTGCATAGTGCATAGTGTCATGTATGGCCTACTGTCTATAGCGCATGGTTTGTTCCTCTGTCTAAGAGGTCATGCTGTCCTTGTGCCATGTATATCCTACGTACTATGAAACTCAAGAGGTTTTCAATACATCTTTGTACCAGTGTTACCAAGACAGATTCTTGTGAATTTATTGTGCTTGGCAACTAGTGTGAGCAGACACATGAGAGGAGCAGAGGCACTGTACCTTAGGTAATCTCTCTTGATCTCCAGGGTGTCTGGGAATGACCTTCTGTAACCTCTGGAAGCCGTAGTCTATGGTTGGCTCGTTCAGCGCTGAGCAGGAAGTGGAGGGAAGCAGGCAGAGAGAGAAAAAAAAAACATTTACAGCTTGATCCTTAATGATGAAAACACCTAATGTTCAAAAGCACCAGAGAAGGTACGGCGGGAGAAGCAAGTGACAGCAGACATAACTGAATCCATGAATATTTCAACATTAAACTAACCACGCTGAAAAATGTGGGTTTTCTCTATTAGGTCTGGTGTGTGTCTTTGTTTGCCTGTGATGTAATGAATCTCTCTCTGTCGCCCGCTTTGGTGGTTAATAAAAAGACTGTCAGGAATCAGGGAAAGTGAATGTGTGTGTGTGTCCTGTGGTCTTGCGTTGATCAGCGACTAATATAAGCAATTACAGAGCTTGGTTCCAATATAACAAAGGCTTGATCGCTCCAGGGAACAAGCTAAACACACACATGCGCGC